TCATCAAAATTAGAGAATTAAAGATATCATTATGAAATGAACAAATCTGAGAGAGGTCCACATGTAGTACCTATATATGTAATATCAAAGCAATTGGACTTGCGGTTTTCAACAAGAAGTTGAAAATATCACTTTTTACCAAAAATTACAAAAATATTCACCAAAATTAGAGAATTAAAGATATCATTACAAAATGAACAAATCTGAGAGAGGTCCACATGTAGTACCTATATATGTAATATCAAAGCAATTGGAGTTGCGGTTTTCAACAAGAAGTCGAAAATATCACTTTTTACCAAAAATGACAAAAATATTCACCAAAATTAGAGAATTAAAGATATCATTACAAAATGAACAAATCTGAGAGAGGTCCACATGTAGTACCTATATATGTAATATCAAAGCAATTGCACTTGCGGTTTTCAACAAGAAGTCGAAAATATCACTTTTTACTAAAAATGACAAAAATATTCACCAAAATTAGAGAATTGAAGATATCATCATGAAATGAACAAATCTGAGAGAGGTCTACCCAAGGTACATATACACCAAGTATCAAAGCATTCAGGCTTGTAGTTTTCAAGAAGAAGTCGAAAAAGTAAAACATTGACACGGACGACGACGACGACGACGGACAATCACTCATATGATAAGCTCCGCTCGACAAAGTCGACAGCTGAGCTAAAAAAAAGACTCCAAATCTGGTTTGAGTGTATAGCACATGGTTATTTCTAGCCAATCATGACAGACTTTCATGTATGCATAATTTATGCTAATGAAGATTCCAAATATGGTTGTTGTATACATCACATGGTTATTTCTAACCAATCATGCAATCATATATATATATATATATCAAGAGAAACCAACTATAGAATACTTACTGCATCTTTAAAATATTAGTAGCATTACCATTGGGCTGAATTTTTCTTATGAAGTTATAATCACCAACAAACAGACTTCCATCAGGTGAGCTAGCTACAGCGACTGGTGCCAATACTTTATTGCCTTTGGCTTTTCCTTCACAGTTGGAACATTCTATGTCACGGCTTTTACCATTACCCATCACAGACATAATGAGTGGGGGTTTGTCTTTCGGTACTCGAATGTCCGTGCCGTCTCCATTATTAACCGAACCTAGAATATTAATATGAATGTTCAGTTATTTTACAGAAAAAATAGTTTTCAAAGAATTCAAGTGAATTTTTTTTTGTATGTAGCCATCTGTCCGACATTTTTGAACTACACCAAGTTAGACCAAGTTAGACACCAAGAAATTTTGGTAAAATTACCCTTCCAAACATTGAAGCCATGATGGAGATTGATTCGCCATCCTGCCATGGCAGTTGTGACAATGTCATAACCAGCAAGCTCGGCCATCTTCCTATCCCATAATATGTAACCACAACCATCATACTCGTATCCAACGGAAACTGAGGACAAAGAAAAAACATTTAGATTTTGCGTAAAATCAATAAGGGTGTCATATAAAAGAAAGCTATTGACTTGAAAATAATGATGAACTTTACCTGTAGCCATGACGATACCATACGATTTTTCTCCATACACATTAAACTTATCCCATCCATAAGTATACCTCAGATCTGGATGCGCTATGAATATCTTGCTGAACACTCGACCCTGCACCGTTATCCGTAGATGCACTCGCGACAGCTTTTCCACAAACTGTGGAGGAGTGAGTTGAAGATGAAGAAGAGTCTGGTAACCAGGAGCCTTGTTGCTATGATAAACCAAACTGATGGGTGTATCTGGGATACGGATTTCTTCATGAACAGCCTAAAAAATCAAAATATGGACAATTAATGTTATAGATGACATACTTGAGATGTAAACAGATGATTATGTGGACAGTTATAAAAAGAAATACCACACTAGCTTTACTTTGTTCAGTTTACAATTTACCAAATACTACAACACTGATTTTAGAAAACACAAATGGCAAATACTGCATCACTGGTTTTAGAGTTACATTATACGTCAAAGCATTTAGCAATAGTTTTAGAGAAGCCAAAAGTCACCATACCTGGATGTCAGCCAGCACGGCTGAAAGACATGAACCCTTTTCACTGGAGGTTTCACTCAAAAAGACAACATCTGGTTTTTGTAGAGTTTTACCACACGGCTGAAGATCTCTGTTGCCAAAGTATGTTGACATGGTAACATCATCCACAACAACAAAGTCATTCCACGGGACGAAAACCGATTGGTAGGATGTCTCAAATGGGTCACGGCTGAACTGAACAGTAACTGAGCCGCCACCTCGTACTATCAAGTCAAACCTAAAGGTTACAAATGACGAAGATTGCATGATATTATGTGGATGTGAAGATGTCATTCTCAAGTGTTAGCAATGACATGTCATGGAAATGCAAGACTGTACAGGTAATGTAAAACTGACCAAGTTACTGAAATGGTTCAATGGTCAGTCATGTGTATATAGAATTGACAATTGACCAATAGAGAGGTTTGAAATTCCCTGTGCGCAAAGGGGGGCAATTTGAGGAGGTACTGTAAAATACTTTATTTTAGCTGGAATTAATTTTCGCTAAAAAGACTGTTCGAGTGGTTTGTATGGAATTTATTTTCACTGATTTTTGATGAGTTGAATGAGAAATATAGGAAAAAAGGCATATTCACTGGATTTTATTTTTACTGAATCATTCCTTCAGCAGAAATAGCGAAAATTATTTCCAAGTGAAAATAAAGTATCTTTACAGTAGATTTGCTTCGGTCAGCCAGAAATACAAAATATTAGACAGATATTTTTACTAAATTACTGATGAGGAAAGTACATAAAATGTACAATACATTGCACCAATATTTTGAGGAGAACATTTATGGCATTTTAGTAGTATAACAACCATCAAGCACTCAACAAAATACACATGTATACTTACATCCCGTCAATCCTGGAATAGGTGAAACCAAACAATGGCAGATCTTTTATTCTGACAGTGACACCAATCAGTGGACTTCCATCTGTAGTCACTACGCGACCACGAACTACCGATACTCTGTACATGCTAAAAATGACACATATAAGAATTATATTTGAGTTTCACAACCTGAAGATTTAAAAAAAAAAAACTAAAAACTCTGTGTCAAGTGAAATTAGAGCATTTCAATATTTAAGTCATGGACTGCATAGCTACAAAGGTGAAGAAAAAAAATACTTGTAATGTTTGGGTGAATTATCCTGAATATCAATAATCTAGTCATGAAAAAATGATAGAAGATATATTGGCCATATGTCGCCATAACCCACATCTCTCAACCCGGCCACTAGAGGGCATTTAGATCACATTGCTTATTGATAGTCTACTAACTTTAATTTTTAATGATCAGAGACTTTATAGCAGAATAACATTTCAATATTTTTTTTAATATACCTTAAATATGCAAAGTAAGTATTAAAACTATCTTTTGAGTTTTATGAACTTTTAAATTATTGGAGTCGCTGATGTAAAATATCTGATGGTTTGAATTTGTGTAAATTGTAGTAAAAATGTACTAAACTAAGTTTTCAATATGTACAAATGTTGGCAGCCAATTTGGTTGCCCGTTAGATTGTTTGGGTTTTGATTTCGAAAAGTGTGCCAACATGCACAGATTTACAAAGATTTTCTAATTACCTCTGCCTGCCTGCGAAATGCAGAATGTTTTGAATATGTGAGACCAGACAAGCCTGAGTTTGACAAAGCTAGGAGTTCAAGGAAGAAAACAGGCAACCTTTGGGTTGAGATAGCTGTGCTGTTAGCAATGCACATTTCAATAAGAGAAATGAAGATATCATTGGAAAATGAACAAATCCGAGAGAGGTCAACCTGAGGTAATTATCAAGCCATCGGACTTGTGGTTTTTAAGTAGAAGTCAAAAATAAAAAGTGGCGTTTCACCTAATCGAAGATTCATGCTGGCATTCATCGTTAATGTATTGGAAACTTTTAGCAAAGTCTGGCAATTTAACAATCTCACTAAAGAATATTATGCAAGGATAATACAAATCAAGTTTCTCCAGGGAAAATACTAGGACACAATCTAAAATGGCAAGTTACACAGAAAAGAACAGATCTGCTTGAAAAGTCTTGATACGTAAACGACACCCAAGAGAACTAAATGCAAATGGAATTTTTGTCCTTAGGGAGTGATTTTTAGAGTAAGAGGAAAGAAGGAAACAGAACAAAGTTCATTTATCGCATGTGATCATTCACCTTTAAAACTTTTTTTTTTTTTCATCGTTATGACAGCAACAGTTTTAAGATTTCATTGACATTACATATGTTTTGTCAGAAATGCAAAACAGACAAAAACTTAAAATTCTAGCACAGATGGTCAATTACTACTAAACAGCAAATTAATGAAATGACTTATGGGATAAGTGGGTGGAAGCTGAGCTGAGTTTGTACCATATTTGATCCATATAGGAAATTGCAAAATAAATTTATGTACGGTAATAATTTTTGTGACAGTATCACTACTACCATATTTTTAAATATATTGAAAATTCAATAGTTTGATAGATTTCTAAGTTGCAAAATAAAAGCACTGTAAAATACATTCCTTTCAGTTTAATTATTGTGTTGTCATTTATTTATTATGCAAATTATCTGCAGATATGTGAACACAAATTACCGGTAAAAAAAAGTTAAGATACAGCTCAGCAAAGTTTACTGGATCAATGCGGAGAATACAAAGATGCCTAGAGTAACTGGTAATCAATACCAAGTGATGATAGCAACACTATTATACATTCAACCTTCCAGGTATCTCACAAATGGCTTTTACACAGAGAAAAAATTGCACACACAATTTGTATACACCATCAGAACCTTGTCACTGTGAGCCCCAGACACAATTCTAGCCTCTCGTTACAGTGAGCTGCTTGCAGATCACGTGTGTATATTCCAAAAAATTACTATTGAGAACAGTATAAAATAAAGTGGAAGCCAATATACAGAACAGTAAAATTGTCACTAGTAAAAATGTCACGTCTTTCCTAGTCTCATGAAAACTAAATCAATGTAAGGTAGAAACTCAAAAATACTCAGATATGATCCACTTCGCAATAAAATGTACTCCCAGCCAATAAAAGAATTTTGACTTAAGTTTGGGGTCATCAGCCCAGTTTTTGAAAATATGATGCTTATATTTTAGTGAGTGGCAACCATTTTGTCTGTATTAGAATGCTCTTACTATTGTTCCTATGGTGTAAAATATTACGTAATTTGGTAAAATGAAATTCACAATCTATAAACAAAAGAAATGTAGAAACAAGGACAATAAGGAGTCACAACGTTTACATTTGTGCCTCAAGTCACCTACAATGTCACACACAACCTCCTCCCTTCCCAGCCGTCAAAAAGCATTTTGAATTTGAGGGATTCCTTTTCAGTCCTGTTAGAGGGCGCAATGACCAAGACTGTTGGCGTACATTTTTTTTTTCAACACTGGGTTTCAAAAAATGGTGAATATGCTGTTTTGCTTCAACATTTTGTTCTGTGAAACTATTCTTTGAAATAATAATTTTTTCACTCAACAGAATAATTTCTCAAAAATGATAAGATTTCTACCTACAACAGTGGTTTACCTACCTTTCTGTAAATGCAAATGGCATAGAACTGAGTTGGACACTACTTGGCTCTGTTAAGAAACTAACATGGTCATAAAAAGGAGCATTGGGTGGAACATCATCTCTCAGTTTAATCAGGGACGATGGATCAGGAACACTTTTACACAATCCATCAGAAATACAATTCATTGCACTGCAACAATCAGGGTCCTGGCAATCAACAAGATTATCTGAAATGAAAAAAACAAAACAATTATAAAAGGCATAAAACTACCCCACATAAATAAGATAAGATAGTCGAAAATACAAATCACAAAAAGGTTTATTGATTCTTTCCAATGCTAGATACTACCACCTCAGGGTGAGCAACGTTTGGATGAAAATCATCAATGAACAGATACATTTTCTCAATAACATCATTTACATATGATTTAGATTTTGAAATGAATAAGTATCAGATTATTAGCAGACTATTTATTCAACCAACCAACCAACCAACCAACCAACCAACGCACAAGAAAAGATTCAATAAGACCCAGTAAACACATTTGTGCTTAAAAATTTTCTGGTTTGTCAGTTAAAAATGCGTCAACATAATAGCTTTTTTTTGTCAGAATTTTAGCAAAAAAAAAAAATGTTTACATAACAAATCTAAAAGAAAATCCAAAGATAGAATTCTTGAATACATACTAGCTGCACAGAATCTGCTAATGTATAGTGGTGAGGCAATGGCCAAATAAAACGAACCTCGGCAAGCGACAATGTGCAGCCAATTCTGAAAAGAATTGATGTCAGAATGAAATGCAATAATTAAGAGCAGCATATATGCATACAGCATGGCTTACCTAAGTCATTATCTTTTCTATCATTACATCTGTCTTCAATACCAATACTACAGTCATGTCCCTTCCACTGTGCATTGCATACACACTGCCAGTCGTCATTTACCAATGTACATTCACCCTGTCCATTACAGGAATTGGGACACCCCTCTGGAAACAGAAATACTTTAATAACACTAACACTACATGAAAGATTGAATCAGAACTAGCCAATCATCATAAAATATGTGCAAAGTAACAATATTTTGCCTAAAAGAGAAAAGCAAGTACGGATAGACACAAATATGATCCCATTTGTCTAAACAAAGTACATTTCCAATAAATATTAGAGCTACTGAACAAATTATTTGTTACTTTGTAATAAGTACCCTTTCAGCTGGATTTGGGTGTTCCCAATAGTAAGAGTATACATACAACATGCATAGTTGTGCACATCTAAGCAAGGTAATATAAACTAGATGTATGTAATATCAACACATCGCTACCTGATGCTGTATGTTCTCATTCATTTTGAATATAGATGGAGGTTTTCTACAGGTGATGCGTTTACCTTTTTGTTATGCTTTATTTGCATATACCTAGGTGCAGTATGGGTGTACCAAGGTGCATTACAAATGTACCTGTGTGAATTACATGTATCTAGGTACATTACAGGTATATTTACCCAGGTGCATTGTTGGTATACCTATAGTTGCATTTATACCTGTCTAACTTGCTGAACAGTAGGTACATATATTTGGTGCTAATAAATGACTCACCATTGGAACACAGCCATCCATTCCAGCCCGGATCACAGCGACACACTGTATCAATACATAGTCCATGAATGGAGCACGGCACCTTACATTTCTGGGTCTGACATTCTGATCCGGTCCAGCCTTCCATACAAACACATGACGACATCTGGCATTCTTGGTTGGGGCCGCAATCACTGTCTTCATCACAGATACCTGTAACACAAACCAACAAATACTGAAATTGTGTTTTCTGGTTGCGTGCAGAAAAAAAAAAGTGCATAGCGCAATTAGAAATTCTGGACTTACTGTGAGAGCAATCTCGTCCTCCCCAGTCATCATCACAAATGCATCTACCAATACTGTTGTCATAGTAACCCCTTCCATGGCAGACTCTGTCTGTGTCTAAAGTCTCCCCTACCTCTGTGTCCTCTATGGGCAGAGACGGGCACACGGTGGTTTCAATCACCTCAACTGGTACAGGTTTATCACAAGAATCACCCATCCATCCATGTCCACAGTGACATTGACCTTCGAAACAGACACCATGACCTGAACACGATGGATCCAGACAATCCACTGAGGGAAACAAAAATCAACATTCATAAATCAAGCTGCATCTAAAAAAACAAAAAAATTACCTCTCCCCAAAAAATTACATAAATTTAACTTTAAAACATTTTTATCTAAAATTATCTAAAAGTAGATGTAACTGCACTGTAAGTACTAATATACTGTTTGAAAATTATAATAATGACTAAAATTCCCTAAATAGTGTTTTTATACAGATATCCCATTATTACCTCCAGTGGGAGATAGATTGTCATGAAATGTTTTAAGTATGATGAGCGAACTACTGTAGACAATGTCATGCCATATTAACCAATAGACAATATTTTTAGTACTTCTACGAGATCTCATGTTATGCGTGAATGGGATGAATCTAACGTCTGCTGCAAAAATAGAATGACCTAATTTTGAACTTTAATTTTTTTTTTTTAATTGATGTCAAAATAAAAATGTTTTCAGAGTGGAACATGGTGTTAAGATACCACTACTTCATCAAAATAGACCATCATCATATGTGAATAGCACAATATTGTGTAAATATCCCAAAAATTATTAAAAACCATTTTTTTCTGGTGTACTAAAATTCATGAGCTTGATGTAGCTTTGTTTGGATAAGAATGTCAAGATTTTTAGAACTTACCAAGTTCACAGAATTCGCCTTTAAAACGTTGTTCACACAGACACACACCGTCAATACACTCGCCATGACCATTACAATCTGGTATGATACATTCATAGTTTGGTACTGTACATTCGGGTCCTTTCCACTCTGGCTCACATTGACAGACACCGCCATCATATATACCCCGGCCAAAACAAAGTACAGGACATACACCTAGAAGAGTGAAACATTGCAAAAGTGGCTTAGAAGAGGACAATATCAAGAAAAACAAGTCAGACATATGGCACGAGAACCACATTCATTAAAACAAAATAGCCACCAGTCGGCCATTTTAAATCTAATCTGAAAAACAAAATTATTTGCATCAAGGTCCCATAATGTCTAATGTATACACCAAGTTTGAACAAAATCCATTTGTAAACAGCCGAGAAATGCTTGATTATTATGATTTTTTAGCACAAAAATGGCCGCCATTCGGCCATCTTGAATCAGATCGTGAAACAAATTGACTTGCATATGTATAATAGCATGTATGATGTATGTGTAAAGTTTGATTGTGATTGGTCCAGGCATTTCTAAGATACAGGTCTGGACGCACGCACACACACACACACGCACGCACGCACGGACACACGGAGGTCAAAACATAAGTCCCTATTTTCGGACTGCGTCCAAACAGGGACTACAAATTTGGGAAAATCTGTTGAAACTGATAACTTCTGTAAAACAAATCATTTTCTCAGTCCTTTTCAGCATTTGTTTGGACAGGATCACTGAAAGACTATAAACTGAATACCTCTGTAAACTGAAAAATGTTCTCAGTCACTTTGTTTTTCGGTTTAGGCAGGTTTAACTGTATGACCTCTATAAACTGAACACCTATGTAAACCAAACAATTTTCCCAGTACAATTAGCATATGTTTGTTTTACCAAACTGATCCACCAAAGCAATGAAAAAAATATAGTACCAATTATTTATTTACTAGAAAGCACAGCAATATTGTGTTTTGTACAACAAGAAAGACATATTTGACAGACTATACATATTTTAAAGTTAGTGCAGCAGCTCTCATAGGTATAATAAATATTGCAAACTCGTAGCATCTCTGACAGCCTATATAATCAAACAGAATACTCGTTTTGTAACAAGTCTAATCTCACCTAAGGAGCAATCATCACCGGTGTATGCGGGATAGCAATCGCATTTACTATCGACACAACGTCCATTACCATGGCAACCATTAGGACACTCTGCGTCAGTCTCTGTAGTAGGAGCTAGAAGACATAAATGATAAAATGATAAACATTTGAATTATTAAAACATTTTTTTTTTTGTAGGAGAGAAAATACAGATGAATTTACTAATCTGCTTGAAGAAATTTTACAAATGATGAAATTGGAGCCATTTTAGTACAGATGTTATCCAACGGGTGTCCTAGCAACAAATATAAATTTATCTTATCATAGATGGCGCCCTTTCACAAGCCTGTGGATAAGCATGCATAAGACTAGCGCAATAAATATGAAACCACCTCAGCATTTCAAAAAAAAACAAGAATAATTTTCCTGTTTGGGAATATAATTTGACTGCCCATAATTGATAATGTTCATGCTAAAAATTTAGTATACAGGTATACAAAAAAACACAATTTCTATCAAAAGTTCAACTCTGAACATAAAAATGAAAGGTCACATCATTTTTGAAAACTTCGCTTTTTTTTTGCAATGTGCACCACATATAGTAGAATGGGAAAATGTTTGTGTGTTTGTGGAATATGTTTTTTCTGATTCAGTGGATGTTTTACCTAATACAAATCAACCTTCAAAGTACAAACCAAATTATTTATTTATTAAACGTTGAACATCGATGCAATATTGAATACTTTTGATACAAAAAGGAGATTAAAAACGACATCACTCCATCAATTTTCCATGGGATGTGAACAAGACTGTTTTTGCTTTAGCGTTAGCGAACAATTGAATGTCAACTCACCTACATAGTTATTTGCATTTAGTATTATTTGTTGTGGTGTTGATCCATCATTGAACACCGCTAAATACCAGTGGCCGGGCAGCATATAATGAGTAAATATTTCTGAGTTCACAGTTGTCGAGGTGCTTCTCCGTCTCCTCGAATTCAAAAAAAGTTTCGATTCGATCGTTTCTCTAATTCCTTCTGTCAAGTCCCTTTTACGCAAGTCCTTCCTATTTTGAAATTGAAACCGCAACGTTTCTGGAATAGGATCATACACCTGTTCACCACTCCGTGTTTGTCTCTCTTGCTCATTTTCATAGTCCCTGTTCAGACTCTTCTCAAATACTTGCATAAAATCAAACTTTGTGTGAGTTGGCTCGTCTCCTTTCTTGCCGTACATGACAAGTTGAGAGTCGTTTGGCACAGATAAATTAAACTCCACGTATTTAGCAGTTTTTATGTATAAAATAGTTCTGAAGTACTTTCCTGGAGGAACGAGTTTTTGCACTGATTGCCCGGTAAGAAACACTGGTGATACTGTAGGAGACATCTTTTCTATTGGTTTACCTGAAAGATGAAAAGAACAGTCAATCAAGAACCGGTAAACAAGACACAAACATTCTTTGTAGGTATGATTCAATTATTGTATATTTTATTTTATTCAAAAGCATTAATGAGGAAATCTACGAGACTTGTTCAGACCTGTTGGAGACTGTTAGAATTTCATATAAGCAAGTTGGTGTTGGCCACCTTTCACATAATGTGTATTGCTACCTTTTACATATTAGGTACCATATTTTCTCTATTTTCAGCAAAAGGGCTTATGTAAATTAGAGAGGTGTTTCTATGGTTAAAATAAATATTATTGTAATTCTTTCACACAGTTTGTATTTGCTACATTTTATGTAAGTTAGTGTTGGCTACATTTCATAGTCTTGGTTATTTTTAGATCAAGATTTTAGAGCTCCCAAAAATAATAGTTAATTAATTAAATTCAAAAATAACACTCCCTATATCAAAATTATTAAGAAACAGAGCATAACCACCAGTCTATTCAACTGGCAACTTTTTCTCATTTTTCTGTTTTTTCCTATTACTCGATAATTTAACCAAAATACCCAAAACCATCTACATTTTCATGAAATTGAATTGATTTGGAATGGCAGTTTGAAATTCTGGCTATAATAGCCTGCATGGCCGGGGACAAAATTCGGAACTATTTGTAGCATAATTGGACAAACACATTTGACATTTCAGTGATCTTTTAAATTTCATGATTTCAAAGTTTAGTGTCCATCATTGATAATAAAGAAATATAATGAAACTATTATTAGTCGCAATACTATAAAGCAGTGACCATTTCATTGGGGTCACAGAGTACAGTATCTTGCAGGTGTTACTGTTATAGAATGACTGCCAAATTTTTTTTTATATGTTTTTCTACAATTTTTCATTATTTTTTGCACCAAATGAACATATTAAACATTTCATTTCAGACAGGTGTAGAAGAAAATACAAAAATAGACTAAACAAAAGCTGATTTCAGGGTTCATATATGTATTTTGAGGATAATAAAAACATGAAACAACATTTTTTTATATTTTTTAACCAATAGGGTGCCTCAAATCACAAGACAGAAAGCAAATCAAAAGATTGTTACCATGGTGACAATACCTTACTTCAGCCACCATTTTGAATAGGATTAAATAACTCATGTTTGGATTAATTTACTAAACAAAGATCTGAATTAACCATATAATGTTACGTGAAACAAATGAAATATGAACAACAAATACAGATGATGAAGATTTTTAACCCAAGTTGCATTACTTTACTGTCATTATAAGTGACTTTTAAAAAAACAAGCAGCCTGTCGGCTGAGATAGCTCCGCTGTTAGCAATGCACATGGCAATTAAAGAACAGAAGATATCATTAGAAAATGAACAAATCTGAGAGAGGTCCACATGTAGTACCTATATGTATAATATATCAAAGCAATTGGACTTGCGGTTTTCAACAAGAAGTCGAAAATATCACTTTTTACCAAAAATTACAAAAATGTTCATCAAAATTAGAGAATTAAAGATATCATCATGAAATGAACAAATCTGAGAGAGGTCTACCCAAGGTACATATACACCAAGTATCAAAGCATTCAGGCTTGTAGTTTTCAAGAGGAAGTCGAAAAAGTAAAACATTGACACGGACGACGACGGACAATCACTCATATGATAAGCTCCGCTCGACAAAGTCAACAACGGAGCTAAAAATGCACAAAAGTTTACTGTCTGAACATCACACAAGTTATATATCCATCTCTTGCTAGAATTTGTTTACTTTTTTGTTTTCGAAAATCAAATGACACATTATGTAGTGATGTAATTCGGTAACTACGGTAATTTTTTAGATATACACTGTTTTTGATCTAAAATAGTTTTCTTATATATTGGTATTTTCAACTGGGAATCGAATAGCCCAGCAAAATCTTTAAAAAATTTTGTCACTAAAATGTTCTCGTAAACCTCAATCAATAAAACAAGAAACGTTTATACCAGACTGATTGTAAAATGGAACATTAATAAAATTTAGGTAGAAACTCTCATTAAATATGCATGACTACTTCACAAGATACCTTAACATGTGTCTGAGACATACTTTATAACGACTACCTTGATTATGCGCGAGAATAATCAATACCCAGAGAGAAGAAACGAGCGACAATGACCATTACTCAAGTTTTACACTTGAACATCAATCTAACTATCATAGCCTTCAGAAAGGCAAATTTTTTCCCACCAAAACATTTTGGTCCTTTTTATAATTTTCTATACTCCCCGGTAATTTCTTATTTAATTTTGGTTCAAATGGGAATAATTTCTCATTGGCTACATTTGCAAATCAAAAATTTTGAAATATCTGGGGGGAAAAAACCCTGTTTTTATCGATGAAAAGTGACTGAGATGACTTTGCGTTCAAAGGTCTCATTATTCAAGTGGTGCATACCCGCTTCATATTATGTATAATACAAAAGATCAATATTCTAGAGTAAACCAAGAAAACCATTGAGGTAAATGGAACATGACATTATATTCTACTTATCGTTACATCGAACATGACCAATTTTGTTTTTATTATGATCCTAGCGCTTAATCTACGAAATCTTAATAGCTCTTACATTTGTATTTAGTCATTGTCATAAATATTAAACTAATATGGGGCTTGTAAAATAAACTGAATGAGCCACAAGTACATCATAATGAAGCAGTCTATGGCTCGGGTGAAGATTAATTTGCTGCATTATATTTTTAAATCTGTAAAACTTGCTAAGAATATACCTGTCTTTTTTTTTTCTTTTTGCCGTCAAAAGTTGGAGAAGGCGTTGACCATTAGAAATCATGGGAGAAAGATGGCTGAAAGAATTGTTGAAAAAAATTGCAAGCTCGGCACGAAGAGAATAAAAACATGCATGCAAGTTGTTTCAGGAACAAAATGTTGGCACAATCAAAACAAATTTAATTGGACAGAAAAGACACTGCAAAAAAATTGCACCAGGGCTCTTCCCAGGGCATTTTAGAATAGGGGTCCATAACTCTTTAATTTTGGATAAGCACTAGAGCTATTTTAGCATAACAATGAATCAATTATTTCTATTATTACGCAAATTTTGCTTGTCAATCCCACTGTTCTTTCACTGTCTCAAACTCCAAACCATGCCCTTACTTTTATCTGCCTTTGGTGTAAAATACTCGCATACAATTTTTTGCAAAAAAAAATCATTATTTTTCAATATTGCAACTATTCTACATGTATTAAATGTAAAGAATAATTGACATAATTCACATAAAACATTGCTATAATCACGCAGTATGATACCGACCTGTAGTAAACAGATTCGTTGTTACACTACTCTCTGTTGTATCTTCGAATACACCGTAATCACCGTCACCAATCGGCTGTTCATCAAATTTCCAATTTACATCCAGAGCTCTCACCGCTACAAAAAATAAAATATAGACATATTCATCAGAGCAACAGAGATAACGAGAGAACAGAGATGTTCTCACCAGCTGTGTTAAATCAATTACACATGTCCACACCGACGCTCAGTCAGTCAGTACATATATTGATCTCACGCATGGCTTTATTAATCTATATCTTGTGTAAAAATTCAGTTTTATGCAATTACGGCATTGGCAAAATCCTATCTTAGAAAAGAAAACACAAGAACAATCACAATGATTCCATTTTTATATCACCGATAGCTAGATTTCATTGGTTAAATTTTAACCAATCAGAAGGAACCCATTCAACAGCACTGTACATACATTAAAAGATGGATACTGTGATTGGTCAATTGTCTTTTTCTCTTTAAAAAGTTACAGAATCATTCTTGTAAGGGAACTGATCATTACCACCAAGCCGGTTTCCTGTGAGTCTCCTGCGGCATGCGTTTCTTTACCGTACCGGCCGCTGCTTTACCGTACCGGCCGCTGCTTTACCGTACCGGCCGTTGCTTTACCGTACCGGCCGCTGCTTTACCGTACCCGAAGGTCATTAGCCGTACCGGCAAGGCCGTTACCGTACTGGCAGGAGGCAATTCACACTTCTGACAAGTTAATTTATGCATTGATTTTCCGGTTTACCGGTAAAATGCCGACCTGTTTAAATTTCAGTTTTATGCACAGGATCGCCTGAGAAAGCAAAACTGTAGAATTAATTTGAGTAGAATTTGTTTAGTTTGTAGTTATAGTCAGTTTATAAATCATTTTGTTCATGTTTGCTATGCAGTAGCTTTCGAGGTCAAATACACCACCAGGTCAATTTGTAATTGCGTCTTTTTATTTGTCAGAGATTAAACTTTACCATTATTATTGCATAATATTTACCATTCAAGTTGCTACACATGATTTTTTTTGAGACCATGGAGCTCCCAGTACGTCCATGTGAACTGTTGGATATGACTACAGACGGAAC